TATATAAACTCTTAAACCCACCAGCCACCCTGAACCTATGTGTTACATTTACAGACATCCCTTGGGGTTTTATCTTTACTTACATACTGCAAATATCATTATGTGTTACACTGCTAACTTGCACATTCCCTGGACAATTCTTTGCACATGCCTGTACAGCGCTTCATTTATGTAATGCAGAGTGGTCTCAATGTATTCATTTATTTAAGAAACGGTCATATTGTACATATTGTTTCTCTTTTTGTATTTGTATATATCATCTCATTTTACTATCTCTCTTCTGTCTTTATATTTTTCTGTTTCATTGTTACAAATCCCTTGTATGTGAAAACCTACTTGACATAAAATCCTAATTCTGATTTTTACCATATTGTTATTTTTTTAAATGGAATAAATGTGTTTCATCCGTAGAACAATGGTACTGAATATTGTGTTCATGTATGTCCCACAGGATAACATTATCTAAACCTGTGAGTGTTACTGTCAAGGAAAGGTGGCTGTATTTAAGTTAACACACAGACAAACATTACACAGGGATGCACTCACTTTACACTCACTAACACAGCAGAAACAACAGTGAAGCACCATATTTCCCAGTTTCCCACTTATTTGAGGGGAGTCAAGTAGCGCGTGTCCTACCTCCATGCTCAGCAAACTTTGGGTTGCTCAGGATCTGTTTGCAGAACTTCAGTCCATTTCTGTACTGCTTGTGCTCGTAACATCTCTGCAACAAAAGACAGATTTTACATCAGGCATCTGAGGCCAACGGCCTCTCAGTCTCTCCTGCACTAATCCTTAGAGAGCCTCGTAAAGAGAACGTGTGTGTTCAAGTGATGAGCAGAAAGAACTGGTCCTTCCTGCCGAGTCCGAACAATGCATCACACACAGCGGACAGTGCTGTGCATGAGATTGTCTCGCTGAAGATAAATGGAAGAAACAGCACTTGAGAGAAGGCCCTCATGGTGGAGGCTGTTGATCAGATGTAATCAGACAAGTGGCCAGATGACCAGGAGCTCAGACCCCCTCACCCCCAAATCCTGTCAACCCCCACCTCAATACATGCACTCAAGTCCCTGACTGACAGAAGGACAGACACTCCCGCTAATATTAGTGGTATACATTAGTAATACATTAGTATTAGAACTTCCTGTACACAATAGCTACAATCGATTGCTGAAACTCTATATAACCCTAAACTGTTTTAGCGTGTTTGAGATATGCCGACATAAATGTGGCTTCAAATGATTCAGTAACCGCCTTGAGATTTCCGTCTACGTCATGTGGCAAAGACGCTAGTGTAAGTTAACTGTTAAATTCCCAAAGTGGCAAATGACGTTTGGTTTGACAAGTGCCCGGCAGGTAGCGGGCTTGCTGTATGTGCTAAACTGAATTGCTCCAACTAACGACAACTATTTCGGGCGCACATACAAGCCAAATATTGCTCAACTTCATTGACAGTGCAGCCGAATAAGTTTCCAAACTGCATGTATTTCCTAGAGAACTAACCCAACTGTCCACCTGGAAGTTGTGTGTAGCTGTCATGTGTCAGGCAGCGTTGTCATTGATACACTTTGGATGTGTTGCAAGGCCAACGCACAGCTAGGACACCACATGATTATTTGCTAGCCAGCGATGCCGTTCCCTTCACTGCATTGTTACAACTCCTAGTCAACAGAGACATGCTAATTGCAATGCGGTCGGTGTACTGAATATTTTGGTTAATGCACTTGCAACTCCCTGGCTACTTGCTCTGACTGCTACAACTGACGGCTACTTGGTAACTAGCATTAGCTAGGACGCTAACGTTCTCTCAGGCATTTAGCCTACCAATATTCTCTTGAAGAGAGCATTCTCCTTCGGCGGTAGAGTGATTGTGGGCATTGTGTTGGCTTCCTATGCCTCTGTCGGTTCACACATGAATAATATCCTCTTGGAGTCAAAGATCCTGGACTGTTTCAGTCTCTTCAGGCTCCTCTCTCTCACGTGTTGAAGCCGAGGCCCCCTTCCGAGCAAAATGGCCGACCTGCTTCTCCTCCGGGTCAGGATGCTCTCTGAGTCTGCGTGTCAAACACGGGCAACAGGGCAAAATGTACCAGTGACTAAATGGCGTTTAACATGACACGGTGTCTTATTTAATGACACTTCAAATACAAATTACTAGATATGTTACAGAATGATACAACAGTAAAATAAATTAATACATATTTTGTATGGAGAGAGTACAGTAGCGCTGTTTGTGTTGGTCTCGAAAGTTGCTAACACAATGTTAAATGTTACACTGACTGGCTTTGTGACTTAACGTTAGTATCTGCAATAATGAGAACGCATTCAGGGGTTGGATTGGCTCTTTAAACACTGATCTGGCTTCATCAGTTGCCCATTTAATGCCATCCCTTACAAAAAACACTATATTATAACTGAAAGAATGACTGTACAAAAACAGTAACAACATCAGTATTACTATAGTAATGCTATGGGGCTTTTTCGGCACGCACAATAGAAAAAATGAATGAATCCTATGGAGTTGGCTATGGAGATCGTATAGTGAAGTTATAGTTACATTTTGGTGTTCATGTAATATTGCTGTAGTAATTCCTGTACTATTTCTATGTTTTTTAATATAGTACTGCTATAGTATGTTCTATAGTCTTTCTATGATTTTTCAGACATACAATAGAACGTTACTATAGTAAGTTAGTACTATACATTTCCTAAAACAGGTGTTCCCTCTCCTCCTTGTATTAGTGACACCAAATGTCATTCAGAAATTTTGTACTTTAATTTTCCCTTTGCCTGTTGGTGAACATGTTTTTTGTGACATAACTCATACAGTGCACCCAGCAACTATTAGTTATGTTATGTAGTTATGTAGTTAACTTTTGTCACTGCAGTAAAAACAGTGTTGTAGTCCAAAATATGAGGATTTCATCTGCTGTTTGGTGGGCCACTTTCATGTTGAATTTAACAGAAGAGTAGAACCAAGGACTGGCACATGGACTATTGTTCTGTGTACCAGCAATAAGCTTGAAGCGTTATACTTCCTGATTTCTTTTAATGGAGTTTGGCAGGATATGTGCTCTCTGACAAAGAGGAAAAGATAACTGCTGCTGTGTGCATTGGTGAGCCAGGCGCTGGCCCTTGTGACTGTGGTGGTAGGGTGTCAAACCTACGGGCAGGAAGCTAGCTATAACTGACGCTAAAATTAGAATAAACAGAATAGACTGTATGAAAAAAAGCTTTCAACTAATTACACATACCGTACTTGTCTTTAAATCAACTAAATTCTTTCTTTTTCTGTTTTTCTCAGACAGATCTTTGAGGTAAAAATGCTAAACTATTAAAACAATTGATGAAGCATTTGCTGCATTAAATATTGAATTTAAAGTGTTGAAAGCTGGGCATACTGGGCAATGAGTGCACAATAAAACTGATTAAACTGTTTTGAAAAGATATAAAAGATATTTTATTTAAGTAGTAGTATAACTCAAGTATTTATTGTTAAGGTAAATTAAGTTAATTAAAGTTATTTAAAATATTTAAAAAACAGATTGTATCTGAATAAAAGTTACTTAAATCCATTTTCTTTATAGTTTATAGCTAAATTTACTCAGTTTTCTTTCACTAAAGCAAATTATTACATTACCTGTCAAAACAGCTGACTTATAATAAAAACAATTAGTGCATAATGAATCCATTCGATGGATTCACTATGCACTAATTTGGTGCCCATCTTGGATATTTGTTTTAGCTCAGACATTGTCTGGGCCACAAATACAGTTACCTTTGCCAAAATATTTAAGGTTTCCATACTGTTTTTGTTTGTAGTACAACTCTTCATCCAGAGGAGGGCAGCGCCCATGTGGATAACTGTAGATTCTGTTTGCCCTACACCAGGAAGACAAACAAGCTGACACAAGCCACCATCATATCACCTTTTTCTTTGGCTGTTGTTGAAAATGTGACACTGCCATTGTACACTGTAAAAAAAAAACTTTTTAAAAAAGGTAGAAAAACTGTTATATTCTGGCAGCAGGGGCACCAAAAGTAAAAACAGAAAATAACTGACTTGTAAAAAAACATAAATCTTGGGTAATTTCTTGGCTTTTTAATGTTTGATTAAAGATACAATACAAATGATCAGGCTTAAATGTACAGAAGAGTGCTGTAATTATTAGATTTTTCTTATTTTAATTTGGACTTTAAAAGTTACAGAACTGTAATAAAGGTCACCATCTGTGGTTATACATTGATTAAAAAAATGTATTCAATGTTTTTGTTTATATATTGTACAAGATATCTGTCAATTAACAAACAAATCCATGTAAAAAGCTTATGCAGCGTATCCTCCATTTCTATATATTTCTCTATTGTTTGGGCCTCCATCTGGATTCACATCTCCTCCATCGCTCTGTTAGATGCCTGTACATAGTGAGCAAAGAAGTACATCTTTTTCACATCAGAGTATGAAATCTGATGTTGGCCCTATTTTTCCTTACTGGAGAACACTGATCTGTACAGAAATGCGTATTGCATTCACTTGACAAAAAAAAAAAAGAAATTAGTAATTTATTTTTTGGTTTGTTTCCTGACTAATTTTTTCCCCCTATTTTTCTGAGTAATTTTTTTTCTGAATTATCGAGATATTTCGAATTCCCGCGAGAACCACGAACCTGCAGTGACTCCCATGGACCTAT